TACAGCAAAATTTCAAAATGGTACTATTCTAAAATCCATCTATTTACAGGAATAGGCACTGAAAATATGACATTCAATTCTCACATTCAAATTAAATCCACATTTTCTACTAAGAGATTGGGTCGCTTTAGGATTTGATAAACCTTTCAGCTGGACAAACATTCTGCCAAAATGAACCATCCCATCACACAAGGCATTAATAACAACACCACATAAAAATCCTCCCCAATTGTTCCACTACAGACATTAGTCCACATCAACTTTTTATGTATGTTAGATTTTGAGCCACATTGTACAGTTTTATAGTATAAAACTAAGTGCAATCTTAATTTTGTGTTTCAGTGCCTGTCATGACACCTTGTCTCTGCTCTGACTCTTAGCGGTGGCACCATGGAAGAAAGGATGAATTATCATTGGTTATTGGGCAGAAGTAAATGTAAGAAAATGGTGAAAGTGCTTGCTCACATCAGGCTCTGTCACTTTGGCCAGCTGATTTTAGTATCTCTCACAGAAAATTTAGGTGCAATGTTTTTAAGTCAGCTTTGATGTTACAGGTTTTTAGGAAATTAGGCTATTTTTATCTGTTTGTATAAAGCTGTACATTAGAGACTGCGGTGAATCAAATCACCTCTTCTCTGGCAGGCTGATTTCCAGAAAGCTACTACTTTGATATCATAGAATAGGGAGGACATGAGAGCAAAGAAAGGGAAGGTCAAACAATTCTGTTAATAGGTACAAAGTAGAGTGGTACATGACTCATCAAATAGGCACTCCAGAGTTAGGTATTTCCCCCCCTCCCATCACATTTACTTCCTTTAAGAGCTTCTAGAAATTTCTGTAGTATTCTGTCCTTACAGTTTTAGAAGGAAAATGGTATTGGGGCAAATAATTTATTTTTTCATCTCCAGCTTTCATGATCCGCTCAGTAAACATAACAATATGGCCCAAAGTTTGGCACCCAGCAGACTGCGACGCAGACTGGATGAGCGGCAGCTACATTTCCACCTTCTGCCTGAGGAGGTAAAGCCTTGGGACTCCACCCTCCCTTCCAGGAAAGCTGATCCTGTCATCAGAAGTGCACACAGCTCGGGAAATCTTTAGAGATTACATGAGCCTAAATCATACCTCCTATTGCACACACCTGTAAACTAGAACAACAGCCCAAACTGGCGTTTTCTTCTTCCTTGAGTATGCAAAGGCAAAATAGTCACATAGGGCACTGGTCACTTCCCATTTCTCACATCAGCATTAAACTGCTTTGTTCCCACAAGCCTGGAAATCTCCTCCAGCAACACCAGTAGCAGCCTCAGCAATATTAGGAGTGAAAAGGATACACGGAAAAGAGCTGGCAACACCTTAATCTTGAAGGTTGGACAGGACAGTTGAGAAAAATCTAAAATGCCACAACATAAATACTGAATTGTATTTATGCAAAAAAATGCAAACAAAAGCAACAGGGACTAGACTCCTGCTAAAAATTAGGGCACTGATACCACAAATGAGATAGCAGTGCTTTACTCTCAGTGATACTATTTACAGTTATGCCATAAAACATCTATTTTATTTATTCATTGAAATTTGTAAAAGATATCCCATCAACTCTGTGCTTCTTGCATAAATGCACAGTGTAACAGTTTGGATATTTATAGTTGGATTAAGAATGTTACTGTTTAATGTGTAACTGAAATGACTAATATTTAAACAGTACATTTCTTCTAGTTGTCAAGTTAAAGGCAACTTGCAAACATCCCATGTAAAAACGACAACTGAAGAGCTGGCTCAGAGCAGACTAAAGTTTCTTTTCAAGCATTTAGCATTTTAAACTCACGTATTTTCTTCCATCTTTGTATTCTCTTAAATCACCCAGAACTTTATATTTACTTAGTACACTTATTTCTTGGATTATGCAGAGACAATAGTGATACCACCCATATTGTCCGCATTAAAGTATATAGCTAAATAGGAATCATTCATCAAGGAACAAGATAAAGAAATTTTCCAAAGTTGGCATCTGGAACAGTGAACACATCTTTCTTCACGTACATATTTTTCAATACCAGCAGATGATCTTTAAAGTGACATACATTCAATCTGTGGCACTCTTTCTCCATATCACAGCTGCTAGGCTACTTCTCATTCTCAGTAAAAGGGGAATTATCAAAGGAACCCGAGGAGTGTAAGCGGAAGGTTAGTGATTCACAATGTGCAGGACCTCCTTCCCTCTTTGGCCCTACCTGCAGTATTTACGCCTGTTCAGCATGCAATGGCTACACCAAGCAGAGGAGAACCAGAAGACTGTGTGACCGGAAGAAGCAAGAGCTGCATCTTTAACTCAGATCCAAAAGTTTTCTATTGCTAAGTTCCATTAGTCCATGAAATGTAATCAGCCCTCACCACAAACTGGGAAGCAGTCAGGTATGTCCTTTCTTGCAAATCTTCAGATGCATAAGAAACGTAGCTACTGCAAAGGTAATCCCACCCACCTCTGGGGAGCGAACTACTTGGTTAAAGTTGAGCACACCTTTAAGTGCTAAGCACTTCTGTAAGTCTTAACAGAATCGGGATTCTGGTCCTTATTAGACTTCATATGGTTAAGAGAAAACCAAATACATTTTTGGTAATCTGAATAATTAATATTATAAAAATAACTAATAAAACCAAAAGAAAAAGAATCTAAAGAGTCAATAAAAAGAAAGGTGGGAAAAGAAGGCAAGGAATCATAAGCTAACAATCTGACGTTAAGTAAACCTGGACGACTTCATGGAGTGCAGCACTGCCTGTCAGACACCAATTAGATAATGGCTTACACTGCACAAAGATTTTGAGTGGTTAAGCAAAGGAGAAATCACAGAAATCATGGTAACCTTTGACTGAACATTTTACAAATTGTTCTTTTACGTAGGCACAAAATGCCAACCAGGTCACAAAAAAAAAATCTGAAACTTGTCCTCCGGCACAATTATGACTGTAATGAACCACTTCCTTTTCACCTTTTGTGCCTACACAGGAGGCTTTAGCCCTTTGCCAGTTAATGTTCTTTGCAAATACAAAATCAGATCTTTCTGAAGACTTACTACTCAAAGTCCTTCTATTTGAACAAAAACAGAGAAGCCCTCAAAATCAGACAATTTTTACATAGCTGTACACAGGTACTTACAGAAAGAAATCAGATTGGAAGACTAGTAGCACTGACACTGACTATTATTTGGTCCTGCTATCAATGTTTTTTTTTTTTTGTTTAATTGTTCGACTGATATTTGCTAAATATATGCCTTTCACAGGCTGACTTGGGGGGCAGTGCCATCAGCTAAAATGCATCTACTCCTGAAAACAGGCAAATAAACTGTTAAAAAAAAAACAATGAACTTTTCTTCAAAAAGCTGTTATCCTTCCAAGTTATCTAGAGGAGATAACTTCTATTTGGCAGAAGAGATGGCCTCTGTAGTGAAACAAACTTCTGTCAGCATAGTTGAAGTTCAATTTGGCTAAGTAAGAGAGCTTTGGAAACCACACATCTTACACACTCACTAGAGAGTTCTTGCAGTTAGGCAAAGGATTCCACAAGCCCCAGAATAACTAATTCTAAACTCATTAATCAGCTGGGGATGGAGATTGGCATTGCCTTACCAAGCTGTCCTGTTATGCTCCACTCCTACCAGGATTTATCCCACGATCCAGACAGATCTCTCTCAGACTTTCTTTACACCAAACTTATGTCTGGTTGCAAGAACATTCCCCGTTTCAGCCCTTGGACTGTGTTCCTTCAAACACAGTCACACATGAGCAAAAGACAGACAGCTCCTCTCCCAAATCACACAACCCAACAAAGATGTGCTCCTAACTACAGCATCAGACCAGCAGAAGCATTTCATTCATTATGACCCAGTGTTAGAGGCATTCTCCATGAGTCCTAGTTTATCAGAGAGATTTCTTTCTCTCCCAGAAAAAGAAATCTGGTCACCTTATTTTAATGACCTTACTAAGACACTTTTAATCTACCCAGTCAAGCACTGATTGTCACATTAGATAGCTAAATGATATTTTTTAGGCTGCACAAAATAGATAGGTACAGTTTTTAAGGATAAAAGTGATAAAGACCAAGTTCAACTGCAGCACCAATGCTATATAAGAATTTTAGGAATTAATGGAGCTAGTCACCTTAAAATTTCTGAAGGTCTTCGATCATAATATTACAGTCATACCATTTATTATAGTAATACCATTTACTATGGTTGATAAATTGGATCGCACCCAAGCTTGATTCAAGTTTGTCTTTCTTGTCAACAGATATGATAGCAAAAGCTAGAAGGAAGATTATTCTCTTGCTTTCACTCCATTTCAACTATACTAAAACTAAATTTATCTGAAAATAAAATCATGTTTTGTTTTGGCTTAAAGCTTTTTATGGCTCTTTTTCAGGAATTTTGAGAAATGTGTGAGAAACCATTTGGCCATTTTTATAAAGAAATACATTACTGATACAGAAACAAGAAGAAATCAGAGCCTCCAGTAATCCTTGCAGATGTAGACCCTACCAGCTAAACATGGTGTAATGTGCCAGTGAAGCAGCGCAAACTTGCACTCGCTGAAGTTCTGGCCCAGCAAATGTGCAAAATGAGGACTACCAATGCTTTTACTCTGTATTTATTACCTGAATAGAAGGTGTGTAAATTAATTGTTTTAAGATAACATTGATGGAAAGCCCAGGTGCTCCAGCGAGTTTTGATTGAATGCATCCTGCTGTCATTACCATTACATGGGCAGCAGACAGACACAAAAGCTGAAGCAAATTGAAAGTCTTTAAAGGACTACTGCTATACTTTTTACATTTGCACAAAAGCTGGTGAAAGCTGCAGATTCTCACGTGATCTCATTAAGCATTTAGCTAGAAATGACCAACAGAGAAGACTTTGCAAAATCTAAAACAGAAATGTTAGACACATTCAGATCAACTTTTGACCAAAATACTTTTTTAAAAATAGGGGTGCAATGGTACTTACCACATGGCAAAGAGTTATCCTCTTCTACTGTCTTATTATAGACCCAATCCTCCTTTCTCCAGCGTATAACACCACTATCTTCGCAGTCCAGAGATTGCTTTATATTTGCTTTATCCCACATTCTGAATAGGTACAGCTCCCCAGTCATACCCAGATGACGTGACATAGCTGTACCTGGCAGCTTTGAACAACCAAGTGAGAACTGCCCTTTTCCAGGGAAATTAACTTTCCCAGGTAGTTTCCTGGTTACTTTTGTTGTTTCATTTATGAACACCTTCATCTCCTGATCTTCACTTTTCCACTGGATACATATTTTGTTCCAAGTGTTTTCATGAAGTCTTGCTGTTGTATATATTTGCTTTCCAAACAACCATATCCTCAATTTACCATGATCTCCTGTAAGTCCAAGATCATACTTGTGTGCAGAGAGATTGCTGTGAGATGTTTCTTGATTGTATACATATGCTGTCCAGGGACCATATGGGGAATATAGCTTAATGTGCACACAGACAATGAATTCCTTCAAGGGATGCAGAGAAATTCTTGATGACATAATCCAAGGATCTTCACATGCAGTCTTAAAGACGGCTTTATATTTTCCTAGGAAATACTCCTGATCTAAATAAAGAAAAGGTGATTTGTAAAACGATTTTGTTTTTGAAAGGATCATCTATACAAATGTTATTCTTCCACATAGTACTGTTCCTAGGCATTTACCAGGAGTTTTCAAGACAACACATTAAGAAACAACATTGCATCCTTCTCTTCTGCTTTTTTTGTGGTGGGGAAGTAGCAAATTTGGAGGCAGTCAACAAATCCTAGATGCTCATGAAAGCTTTAAAGTAAAACTCACACACAAAGCAAACCATGACCATGTGGCACTCTAAGGCAGCACTCAAATGACAAGTGGGAGGGAAAAGAGAATCACAGATCCCGGTTCCTATTCCCAGGGCTGCACAGGTATTTTGCATTTAACAGATACTGGATAAAATACAGAAACAGAGCTAGAAGAAGGGACTATAGCCCTTAACTATCTTCTCATGCCCAAGCCTTGCATGCTGCTTTTCTGAACAAGTTCATGCTTCTCCATGCCATTTTTTTCCAGCCCTGAGATTCTTAAATCCCCTGCTGCATACTGGCAGAGTTTCAGCAAGAAAGGTAGAAAACAGCCATATTCTGGAAGAGAATACATTTAGATAACTTTCAGCAAATGTGTTCTGGAGCCACTGGTTTATTTTAAATTTAATCCCATCCAGCCCCCATTCCCTGTTCTCAACCAGGACATTTACTTGCAGAGGTATCCAGTCTGTGACTCTCAAATCTACTAAGGCATTGAGATGATAGCAACCTAGAGTTCAACTGTGACAGTAAATAGAATTTTAGGTGCTAACAGCAAATTTACTTGTGAAAACAAGGTCTGGTAAATTAAGTAGTGCCAGTGAATGCCCCAAACACTGGAACTTAATCATAACTGTTAAGTTCTTGTAGGTGCCTTACTTCCTCCACTGTCCCACTACAGGAAAGTACAGGCTTTTGTGGCTGTAGATGTGCGCTCTTTGGAGTTGACTCTTATTTTGTGGAAAAACACACATTCCAATCGCACAATCATTACTGCTTGCTTTATGGTGCACTATCAGCAACAAAATAAATCCAAACTAAGAAAAACTCCTCTGGGACCTGAAATGGAACTACAGAAAAATGCAACAGCCTGTTAGATGCCCAGTCAGTGCAAGAGAATACATTACTGACACTTTTAAGGAAGCATTTATTTATCAATATATGCAGAGCTTTTATGTACACTCCAGAAGAGGTATGTGATTATTCATGATTGGTCAGGGTTGGACAACAGGAAAAGATCGGTCAGTGTAGGAAGAAAGCTTTTCCATTAGCTCCCCTGTGAAAACACAGATTTCCAGGCAACTTGTATCAGTTGTTTTTTTTCAAGATGGGTTACATTCATAGTACTAGTTAGCTGTCAAGGTCACAGCCAGCTCTTCCGTGATCTTCTTAACCAACCAGAGCACCAGCTATCATCAGGCCAATTCTGAATCAGCAATGTGTTTAACTTTTCTGTCTCGACCATAAGGCTCTCAAATTTCTGTCTCAATAGCCACAAATGAAAAACAGGAGGATGTTCCTAACTTCCAAGTGCAGCTTGCTAGGTATAAGACAAAGATCAAAACACAAAATGTATCAATCCAGTTCCACGGAAACTCAACGATAACTATTCTTGTTGCATACTATGGCTTTGAGACTTCCTTTGTGATGATAATTAGCAGAAATCTGTAGGCATCTTTCACAAGCCTGAATCATTCCTGAAGTTCAACATACATCATGAAAGTGCCACACAAGGTTATAGACCAAATAAAAAACTCTCGGGGTGCAGCTGAATTAGGTGAAAATCCTAACTAGCAGGCAGTGGATTTTGAATGGTGAGGTAATACTCAGCATGGTTCTATGGCAATGGAGAAGAAAAACATACTTGACCGAACAGCAACCTGTAAAACTGCTACTCCTCTGCCCAACCCTAAAGCGTGAATTCACTCATTCAATTTGGCCATTTATGAGAGCCTAATAGACAAATTCTGGGACACTCAGCTGAGAACAGTTCAGCACAGAGAACTAGACTTAAACCATGACTTAAAAGCTCAGATGAGCAAGATTAGGCAGGAGGTGGAAGTGTCACAGAAGTGGAGATTTTTAGATACAGACTCAAATGTCCCTGCCCTTTTCAGTAAAAGGATGACTACAATTAAAATAGATCTGCTACCTTCCAGTTTGGACAGATCATGAGGAAACTGATTTTATAAAGGAAACAGCTAGCTAGATATACAGTTATATGCCAACACTTGTAACACAGTCTCTCCAAAGGAAAATAACTGCTCAAGTCTTTCATTATTAAGTAGGAATTATGCTGAAGTTTTTGAAAGATTTGATGCAGCTGCTGTTCCTCAGAAAGTATATGTCAGAAGTATACTTGCATAACTCATACACCCTTCAAAATTCCTGTAAGCCATCTTGAGCATGCAGAGATGGCCAAAGTGACCAGTTAAGAAAATTTCCTGACATAGCTTCAAAACTTGAAGTCACTATTAACTATTCAGATTGGAAGACTGGAATTCCATTCCTGAGCAAAAATGTTAATCAAAACTTGAAGTACCATCAGCAGACTTGATTTTGGAAATGAACAAATTCTGAGAGGGGCTTTGTTTCATGTTAAGCATTAAATCTGTGCTTATGTGCCAACAAATTAAAGGGCTGCAAAACCCTATTACATTCTTTAGAGGAGTTGACACTATGAAGCTGTCAAGGGAGTCAGAGTGGCCATAAACTTGCAGGCAGAAACAGTCTTAAGGCAGGTAACCAACAGAAATAATGCAAAATGAGATCAATTCTGCTGATGATTCTCCTAGTCTGCATCATTCAAAAAAACTGCTGTTGATCAGTATGCAAGGCCTGACGAATTAATTTAAACTAATAACAGAGTTTACTTAGAGAGGTCTACCCTTATGGAAACGGGAAAGTCTGGCCCACTTTGCTCCAAGCAATTAAAATAAACAAATAAAGGTGCCAAAAAGGGGTGCCAAAGTTAACAGAATAGATACCAATACTATCTGAATTGTTACAAGAAAGGCATGGAAAAATTTATATGGTTAGTCTACCCAAAGAATTCTGAAAAAGCACAAAGGAAATCATAACCATAGTCAGAAAATGCACTTTGCTGTTCCAAGTGGAACCCACGGAGTACAGCGTTAAATTAGCTCGAAATTATCAACATGATCTTGGCTAAGTCTGTTTGGTATGTGGGGGATGCAACCTAAGTAGGAGATGACATTACTGTAAAGCTTTCGGAAGTTCTGTTAATCATCGCTTATTTTCTATAGTAATGGTACTTGTGGGCTGCGGCCCACCTTTGACCATAGAACCGAGGAGCTGGAACTGGCTGTGCTCTGACAGTGGCATTCCTGGCTTACAATTACTTCCTTTGGGTCCAGACAATATAAAGCCATGAATATACCTTTATCACCACAGCACAGAAAAGGTAGCACTGTAGAAAGAATGCTCAAGTCATCTCCAGAGCAAAAATAAGCAAAAATCACAATTTGGAGTCAAGGACACTCCATGCAATAGTAATTGTGGGCTGACTTTTCAATGTCATTTGCTGTATTGGGGCACTTAACCTCTTTCAGAAATGCAAACTGCTCCTTCTTAATATATTTATCTCTAACAGATGCAAGAACTATGGATTTTACCCTTGCTAAAACTCAGAGCAGCCACTTAATAAGCATGTTTTCTTAAGCCCTAAAAGAAATCCTGAAATGTATGCACATACTTCCAAACATTTAGAATAAACTTTCTGAGAATGACAAGGTAATGCAAACGTTAAACAAAAATGTAATCTTTTTTCAAACTTTTTCAGATAGTAATAACTGATATATTTACAAGAGATTATCAACCACAGGCAGCAAGAATTAGACACACAGGAGCAGATCCTCTCAGTACACAAGCATCATTGTTATTTTGCTGACATTACTAACAGCTACTGTATCAGTATAGTTGAGCACTAATACAGTTGAGTATTCTCTCGAATAAAAATAGTCACAGGTTTAGATGTCTGCACAATCTGGCTTTTAACCGGTAACAATAGTCATTAATTTCTAAAAAACTTAACTTGAAACTCTAAACTTTCTACATGTGGGTCATGTGATTCTGCTGAATGTTTTGGAAATCTGAAGCTAAGAACTGTTTCCTTGTAAGGAATTTCATCCTTCCTTTTCATTCACAGTTGTATTTGGATATCTGCGGATAAACTACGCCACATTATCCAGTGTCCTAGACATCAGAAAGAACACAGGCAGTTGTTCTCTCTTCATATCTCCTGGAGAACACAAACCTACTCTGGCACCTTAGATGAGAAGAGAACTGAGCAGAGGTGCCGCTGACAGTGCTAACAGAATAAAAAAAAAAAGAAAAAAAAAAAAAAAAAAAAAAAAAAAAAAAAGGTGGACCCATAAACCCTTGAGTCAGTTTAGCTTTTGTTCAAGGATTACTGACACTTGCAAGTGATATGTAGGTGAAAGACAAAATCCCTCTTTGCTTACTTCCTCAGAACTTTAGATGCAGCTGAATTTTCCCTGGAAAAATCCTTGTATGACATCCGCCCATCTGCTGAGCAGCCTTGTCCTTTTTACTATTCAAAGTACGTGAGTATAAAACTTCACCACCTTAGTCTTCTCACCTGAATCTCAAATTCTGTCTCAATAAAAGCTTCATTTTATGAAAATTACTACATTTGGAGAATTGGTATCAGAATTAGTCTAGTCCGTAAACCTATGAAATTTCATTGCTAGCACAATGTCATTAAGCAGGTGTACTTACTCAGTACATTTGAACTGCAAGAAACTCTGTCCTTCTAGAGTAAACTAACATGCCACAACACAGTAAGCAGTTTCTAAAACTAGCCATTAAGTCATGGCAAAAAACACTTCTAATTTTTTAATATCCTATGCGCATGACTAGCATGATAAATGTATTACACAATACTGAGATAAGAAAGTTTTACAAATGACAAGCACTGTTGTCTGTATCAGTTGAAGTCGAGTAGTTACAAACTTCTATGTCAGCTTACAGAATAGCCACTGAGAAACCACAAACTTCTGATTCTACTGTAAATCATAGAAAAGCGTCACCATATCAGCTACCCAATTTGTACAAGAACCTTATGAATCTATTTTTCATTTACTGTTATATAAAGAGTATAGACTGTCAAATTAAAATACATCATTTCTGTTATATGTTTCGGACCTTGCTACCTTTTCCCTAGCCATATTCAGATCCACAATCAGGAGCAATGCAGGAGATGTTCTATGCTCATACATGCACTAAGTAGAGTGAAGCTCAAAGGATCTAGGGGTGTTTGTGTAAAAGCAGTGTAAAAGATTTAAGAACACATCCTGAAAACAGTAACACTTCCAGTTCAAAACAAACTAGCAAGAAAGTAATTTGTCCTGTTATTATGTATTGTGTTTATGTTCTCTCCTCATCCATAGCCAAAAAAAGTTATTACTCATGATTTTTTATGAAAATAAATACTGCAAACATACGGTTTGTATATCCAAAGTGCTAAGTACCAACTGTTTCATTTCTTGTTAATGGCAGTTTTTCCTCTTGATTTCAAGAGGGCAGAAACTTGCCTGCTCTGAATATATTCAAAAGTCCTATTCATCAAGACTAGTGCTATTTATTTGGAATACCAACACTAGATAAATCAGGAAAAAATTGTCTTACCTTTGCCTGCTGTAGCCAGGAACAAATGAAGTAAAAGGACTGCTAGAACAATCCTGAATCTCAAGAAAATGTCCTGTATTCTGCCAACACAGCAGTGCTGTTTTCCCCAGGCAACCATTCTAAAAGAAGAAAAAAACAAACCATAGTGACTAGAAAAAGTGCAGGTGTGCAGATATTTTGACAAATTATGTTTCCAGTCAGAGAGTGTAAATGTCTTCAGCCCTGTTCTACTCTTGGGTATATCGTACAGAAATGCACAAATACTCTGTATATTGCCAAGTCACTGAGAAAGTAAGATTTTTTTGCTGAAAACAAAACAAAACAAAGAAAAAAACCCACTCCAGCTCTAATTCTCCAAAGACTCACAAATATATCAGAGCATGGCCATGAGTCCTTGCACAAATAAGTCTTTCAATATTTGAAAAACAAACAAACAACAACAAACAAAAAAAAACACCCCACACTAAAGAATCCCCAACCAAAAGCAGCCATAGAGCAAGCTTGGAGAGCTTATCCAAAAGCTTTGTTAATTTCAGTAACTGTACAGAAAACATTTCTTCTGTCCCCTACCCACAGGTTCTATCATGTGACATTTTAATAGCAACACTGTGAACTCCTAAGGAAGAAGCAAGAGTTTAATTTCCAATCCTCATCTCATTCTCAATGCAAGAAGCTACTGCAAAAAAATTAGAAATGCCACAAGTCACTGTGGGCACCAAGTTCATGGTGAACATCATGAAAACCTGCTTTGTCCACATTTCTTCCTAGTGAAGGTTGCCTAAAGTGAGCAAGCGGACATGGTGGTATAAAAAGAACATGCTTCCTACTCTAAGAGATACTGTCCTATGAAATTATACATTTTTTTAAAAGAGATCTTTTCAGAAAAGGTACATCTGAACATTTTGTATGCAGAAAGAAACATTAAGTGAAACATTCATGTGCTTTTTGCATGCATTCTTTCTTAAATAAAAAGGTTTAGAGATACATAGTTACAAGTGGTTCTATAATTAATTCTTGAAACAAATGCAAAGCAGTAAACTTTATGTAATGTTTATTTTTAATGTATTAGCTTTATGGTAGACCAGAGCATTCTACATGACACCTGGAGTTTGACTTTGCCATCACAAGTTTTGTGCATGTGTGAGTGTATTGGTTAGCACTCATACTGCTCACAAACTTCACTGTATTTTTGTACGTGCTGTATCAGGCTGCAATAGGTTCCCTTCTTTTCAGGGACTGTAAATTGTGAACTCTTTCAGCAGTTGGAAATTTGTGTTCAGGTTAGCGCGAAGACGTATTTTTTGCGAGCATTCACATTAGTGCAAACATTTATTAGCATAAAATGGTTACTATGGGCTGAACTCTCCAAGAGAAGTGCTAGAGGAATAAACTGAGAAACAGTGAAGTTGCTAGGTAATTAACATTTTGCAAATTGATTAAATGTACAAATTATACACATATAATAACGTAACATAGAAAACACAAAGGCTTTTTAAAAATTTGAGCACTGCAACACTGTTGCCAGTGTTTTCAACAATTACACAGTATGAGATATTTCTAGAAGAAAACTAAGAACATACTGATTGCATCGAAACAGACCAATGTAGACGATGACATATACTGCTTCCACTTTGCAGATTCTGGATGCTACATTTAAAATTGAAATACAGTAAGGAAACAACAGCCAAATTGTGGCAATATCATGAATGACATCTTCATGGGTGCTGCAGATGTTAACCAGCAGGAAGAAAGGCTATTGATAACAGGAATGCAAAAAGCAAGCATACTAAAGCTGAGAGAAAATAAACGGTATGCTAAAGCAACAGACATAACCAATACACACAATCCTATGTAGGAACAGACCAAAACCAAACAAAAACAAATAAAAAAAGCAAGAAATGTCAAAGGTGGGCTAGCTTTCTAAAGATTCACAGGAAACTCGTCCAAACCTGTCTTCAGCTTGCTTCTCTTGAATGCCTAAACATCATGTATTTATAAAGTTGTTCAGTCAGTAAACTAAGTAGCAGAATTACATTAATTATCCTAAGAACCCAATAACAAAAACTGTCATGCTTAAATATACTCGAAACTTCAAGGATTGTGCATCTACAATATAATTTACTAGGGTTAAAAGAGACGCCCATCTAAACGCTGTGTTTCCTTTCTTTGCGTACTCATGCTTCCCATTCTAGTTTCAAACTAGGTCACTTCCTGGCAAAACCAAGCTGCACATCTATTCCTCCATTTTATGGGGAAATCTTTTGTACGTAAATCATCTATCCACACTGATTTATTTAGACAACAAAGCAAACACAAATTCCAGCATTCCTTGACTCTACTACCTGGTCACCAAGAGTTGAAACGTGAATGGGATGGAGCCCTAAAGCACTCAGTGGCACCCATAAGTTTAGCCGTCATTGCTGGTAAGTACTGAAGCAAACTGCTTTCTCTGCATCACATATAATACAGATTCAGAATGCTCCTACATCCCCTGCAATTTAGTTTCCTCCTTAAGCCTCAATTCTGGAAAGAGATATACATGAAACGAGCTGACTAGGACAAAGGTTTACTCCAGTACCATCTTCTGTTTGGTCTGGTAGACCTCATTAGGCTATCATGGTAGTGCCCCATCCATGAGAAATAACAACTGCATTCCAGGAATCTAAATTTGAGGGCAGGACCAAAGAAATTCCTGGTTTTGACTCCAGCTCTGCCTGAATCCTGTGTAGCCCTGAGGAATTTGAACAGGCCTTCCTCTAAATGAGGCCTTCTAGAGTGAGCTTTGCTAATATTTGTCCAGTGTTTAAATGAAAGGCTGTAATGAATACTTTCAGCAAATTTACGTTTTCATCCCCTCTGTTGTTTTTGTTGTTTTTTTACGTTATTCTCACTTCTGAGATTGGCCCAGCAAAGATAAATGGGGACAGAGGCACAACTTCTTGTTGACTGAATACAGTCACATCAAGAACTCAGAAGCTATTCAAAGCCATGAATGCAGATTAACAGTCCCAGCGAAAGCAATAAAATCCAGATACCAGGAAAGTGAGGAAATGTATAAAGTGAAATCCTGACATGGTCACAGATCAGCTGAGCTTTTACAAGACTTTGGACATTTATGATAGCTCAAGATTTGTTCCAATGTCTGGATAAAAAATACAGTAAAAGAGTTAGGAAAATAACATTAGTGTTTCTTTCTTTTTGCAACAAAGCTGTTTAGACACTACCAAAGAAAAAAATGCTGCTAGTTTTCACAGATTTTTTCAGATTTTTTTAAAAAAAGTAAGATGTAAAATATGATATCACCATATCTGTTGAAATAAAGATCATATGATACATTCCAAAACATTTGGACACTATGTTTCTCTTAAACTTATTTAAGCCCTTATTTGTGTTGGAATTCTAAAGTTCTACTCCTAATAATGACCCTAAAAAGTAATGTAATTGTAAATATATAGTTGTGGACATTACAGAATTAGGCATAAGTGATTTTTTTTCATTGATTATTCATTTTGTTCATTTGTTCAAATGAGTAATTTTATTGTTCATTATAATAGATGAATATATCATGACTCGGAGAGCTCAACATGAATCTGCATAGTTTTTGCAGTAGGGTAAAAAATTTTCACTTGTAAATTAAGCAAATCTAATCAAGTCAGCCCGCAGTGCTGGAACATAGGGAAGGAGAGTGGAACAACCCTCCCATAATCCAGGAGGAAGCCGTTAATGACCTGCTATGCCACCTGGACACTTACAAGTCTATGGGGCCAAATGGGATCCACCCAAGAGTGCTGAGGGAGCTGGCAGAGGAGATGGCCAAGCCACTCTCCATCATCTGTCAGCAGTCCTGGCTAACAGGGGAGGTCCCAGGTGACTGGAGGATCGCCAGTGTAACACCCATCTACAAGAAGGGCTGGAAGGAG